TTCATAAAAGAAATAACAGTTTTTCCCTTCATGCGTGTACCACAGTAACAGAAAATGGCCACAACTTAGCATATTGCTTTGCCCTTAAAAGAGTAAAACACTGATATTCTGTTGTGGCCAAAAGCCAGCAGCGAAATTCCTTAATTAAAATAAAAAAAAAAAAAGAAATTAAAAATAAAATACATTGTGCGTGGTCATTCACTATTATTTAACATTTTAATATGCGAATGTACGTGGTCTTTTAATAAATTAATTCATAAAACTCTTAAAAAATATCATTTCAAACAATAACAAACTCAACGTTTAGAAATCCTCGGAACGGTGAGGTCGCTCTGTGATGCCAGTGAAGAACCCAGGACGCTTCTGCGCTTCTGGGCGGAGCTAAGTTGGCTGTACTAGCCACGACTCATACGCACAACGGCCCAAATGACTGGCTAAGCGCGGAAAATAGAGTCTTTTTCACATTCACATTCACATTCACAATAACAAACAAATTGACGGCCCACTTGATGGAAAATGTTAATAAATAGTACCAGATATATTCGATTCCAGATCATCCATATTTAAAAAACGAGTTAATATTATCATTAAACAATTTAATGAGCACAAGTCCCGCGAGGGTCGTCTTAAAGAATCATGCAATTCTTTGATATAAAACACTAACATAATAAAAAAAATAATAAACTTTATAAATAGATAGATAGATACTCTTTATTGTTTCCTCCAAAAGATTACAATAGTAAACTTATTATAAATATAAACAATTACAAGAAATAATCACAATGAGAAAACTTTATAATATGTTCCTATCTTTCTTTTACTTTATTATACATATATGTTTGAAATATATTAATACAGAATTTCACATTCAATTGTGTCAGTATTTTTTTTAATAGTTGTCATTGTTAACTTCAACTGCTTCTCACTCAAGTTGTGTCGACACGTTTTAGGGTATCAACCTTGTCTTGTATCTCTATAATAAACTACGTACATTTTTTATTGTTATCTGTTGTGTTTTTCAAATAAAATAAATAAATAAAAACCACCACTACAGACATCACAAGATACACTGAGACATGCCTGTAACAAAAAAAAAGCAGACGACCTTTGAGCAAAGTAACCCTCTGGTCAAATATTCCTTATACACAGCGAAACACAGAATCTGCAAAGCAGCGATCGCTTTCGAACCGTTCAATTTCAGATAGCAACACGAGATAACGTCCGCAATCGTGGCCTTGGGACCGCCATTTGGTTGTCGCGTACATTATGTAGACATATATAACACACGAGCTAACGCCGGCAAGAGCGTCGACCCTTTTTATTTGGGCCATAGGTGAGGCGAACACGATTTTATAGGTAACCTTATTTCATAACGGAATAAAGTATTTTTTACAAAATTATAAGCATTTTTGATAATACTCATTTTTTTTAAATGTACCGCCCAGTTCAAGATGCATTTTCAACTAAGAAGAACGGCCTAGAAACTCGAAATAACCATAGTGATTAATCCTTAAACTTGTCACGACAGATTAACTGACCTGCTGGTGTATACCGAGAAAGTGCAGACGGGATTACCCCATTCCATTTTCACCCATAAAAAAAAAACACAAATATATTATCCTAAATAGAGAAAAACTACACAATCGGGCAACGTAAAACATACATTACTGTATTCTGAAGAAATAAAAAATAGGAATTAGCAGCGATTTATAAAAAAAAAAGGCGAGCACAATAGATAATAAAAAGGTGGTAATGTCACAGTTTTTTGTGCCAGAAAAAGCCCGTCTTTCAATACTAATAATACTAATTACAAATAAATCTCAGTATACGAACTTAACTGTAATCAAAACATATGATAACAGCCCATCATCACTGGTGTTTCTCTTTATTCTACATGATTTACGTTCATGTTTACCCAATAACAAGGAAGTCAACGAAGGTGACCACATTTATGTGTACAAACTGGATCGAATAAGTAGCACGACCGGAAGTTAGGTCAGTTACTATCAGATATTATGTACAGTAAAAGAACGAAATGTTACTGCTGTATACTGAATTTTTTTTTTATACGACTTGAAATGGCAAACAAGCTGACGGTCCACCTGATGGAAAGGGGTAACCGTCGCCTATAGACATGAGCAGTACAATGGACATAACAGAGTATACTGTTTCACCTATGATACCCCCCATGCGTTGCCATTCCTGAGGACTCAGGTGTTATTCCTCTGTACCCTGTAAATTCACGCCATATCCCACCCTTCAAACCGAAACACGGCCATGCAAACACAACTGCTTCACGGTTGAAACACGAGTGGGACAGAGGTACCCAAGCAATCGACTTTTGTACAAAGTCTCCCTCTGGTAAATTCAGATACAATAATTTTAAAACTACTTTACCCAAGGAACGTGGGTTTATTTTTACATTAGAACACAAAAAATATATTAATTCTAATACTACCAACTGAAGACTGAAAATAAACTGTAATAATAATAATTTATTTGCATAAATATAGTTGAAATAGATCTTAATTAGTGTTATAGAATCACATATTCAGCCGCATTGTTTTAATGGCGTGCAAAATGGTAGTACATGTGGAAAATAACCAACTGACTTCAGTTATTGTATAAAAACATGAAATAAAATCATGTATAAATAGGTTAAAAAAACCAAATAACAATAATAATGATAACCTATATTGAGCAGAGGGGAAGGGATCGTTAGTAGTTGTTAGACTACCAGTCTCATTGCTAGCAATATATCCTGTCAGGTCGACTACCACGTGTTCCCCCTGGAAACCATCGTGCTGAATTCCAGGTGTATTCATCACGATGAGCCAACTGACCTGCTGTTTCATCCCTCACTGGTGCCCAGCCGTATATATATATACAGCCGTATACCGTCAGCGCAGGCGGGGTTACCATTTTATTATCATCCATTGAAACGTATATTTTTTTTTATTGGATGAAAATGGAATGGTAACCCCGCCTATGCTAACGGGATACGCTGACGAAGCCCAGTGAAAGGTGATCGATGAGGATGAAAACAGACCAGTTAGCCTATCATGATGAATTCATCAGGAATTAGCCATGATAGTTTCCAGAGGGAACCGCGAGGAGGTCGACCTGGTTGAGTATATTGCTAGCAATGAGATTCTTAATCTCCATTACTAACAATCCCCTTCCCCCGAAACGTATATATTAATAGATACTACCAGCAGGAAAGTATCAAGAGATGAAACCAAGTGGGCCAATTATCCACCTTTGGACTGTTAGTAATGGGGTATAAAAGTCCCACTAGCAATATACCCAACCAAGGTCAACCTTCATAGAGTTTCCATTAAAAAAGATCGTGTTTAATTATTGTCGAGTTCATCACGATGAGTCAACTAGGCTGTCAACACCAACCTGATAAGCTACATTGCTAGTCATAGTATTGTTGGGAAGTCAACGGATTCAGGTGGCTCAGGACCATTGTTTATAGCAGTCTGTGGTCAGAAGACTTCTTCAGCCGTCGAAAATTAACATCAAGAATCATGATTTCATTAAGATTTGGGAAATCTCATTAAAATGGGGTCATCTTAATTAGGTTTGTCTAAAGACCCACAGGAATCGAAGATAAAGGATTAAAAAATACGCGAAATTAGAGATAACATGTCTTTAATACAGTCATCAATATGAAGATATGCTAAATATGTTTCCACTAGTACATTTAGATAAGATTACAGATCCATTTGATTTACGACTTATACAATATATATAGTACAACGTAATGTACGATAAAATATGTATATCCGTTTAATTTTTTTTTATACCATTGATTTGGCAAACAAGCATACCGCCCACCTGATGGTAAGCGGTTACCGTAGCCCAAGAACGCCTGCAATACTAGAGGTATTACGCGCGCGTTGCCGACCCTGAAGAAACCTCTTTTAGCCCTCTTTTGAAGGACCCCATGCCGTAGTCTCTTGGGAAATTCAAACAGTCAACGTTACAAAAGTCGTTTTTTTTATAATGAATGTGTAGGTGGTAGTATTTCAGTTGTTACTACACTATAATCTGATTCAATAGAACTTAATAAAAATGTAAACAAAGGAATAACTGACCCGACCCCCCCCCCCCCTCTTACTAATAATACAAATGAGAAACTGAATTTGTTTGTTACCTCATAACGTCTTAACTAGTCACTAAGAAATTGGATATAAAGGTGGTATATGAGATGAAGGATAGAGACTACTTTTTATCCAGACAGTAAACACATCCCGATCACGCGGAAAAAGTCACTGGTAAAAGCTAGAAAGGCATAAAACAGTCTGCTGAAGTCCAATAGTAATAGTACAAATCAAAAAAACGATTAAATGATTGAAAATTTATATTTTTTATTAATTTCATTTCGAGAATGTGATAATCTAGAACATGATAAGCACATTGTTGAGACATTCGGAAAGGCATCAACGTGTAATACTAGGTACAATTGGACACAGATATGCGCCCTGAGGGACACCTGTACTGTAACGTGACATTATAAGTATTCGTATTAATCCGCTGCATACTTCCAATGAAGCTTTCGACGCGCAATGATAAACCACATGCTAACTCTAATATAGTTGATTTAAGGCTGTATATTTTTTTACTTACACCACGAAATGTATCTATTGACAGTTACCTACAGCACCAAGGCCATCTAAGAATACATCGTAATGCGCAAGACACTCCTCATCGCGGCACTTTCATTGCTAAAGACTATGGTGTTATGGCTCCATACTCAGTAATTTCATTCCCATATCCAACCCTTAAAATCGAAACACAGCTATGCAAACTCTGATGCTTTGTACAATCTCCCTCTGATACAATGATAGAGAAAGTCAAATCATATTTGCCAAAAGAAATATCCATTGCAGAAAGACTTACGTACAGTGTTCCTCTGGTATACTTCATAAGGACAAACGAATTTGCGACGTCATGAGCAAATTGTTAGTAGTTAAATACATTTTAGAACTCACCAATAACAACTAGATCTACATCACTGGTAGGCAAGTAGAGGCCAGTGCGGAAGGATCCGAACACCTCGACGCGGGCCTGCGGCCACAACGCGAGGATCACGCTGCGAATACGGGAGACCACTGTGGACCTCATGAGGTGCTCCGTTTCTGTCGGCATCATGTACGCATGGAAGTGTTCGATCTCTTCATGGAGCCTGCAGAACAAATGGTGTATATTAATAACTCTTGAAAATGAATTAACAGAAAACAATTTGACGGCCCACCTAATGAAAACCAAGGTCATAACAACAACCATTGGAACGTCCATGACGTAATTCTTAAAATTGTCATGTACTGGGTATTTATTACCACTATTATATTACGTAATCTCTTTCTATCTCTCTTTGATGAAATATAGAAAGAAAGACATATTTTTAAACAAATAAACATAGATTTAAGCATCTTTGAATAGTCAATGATGATGATTAATAGAAGATAATAAAGATGAAAGAAATGGACGGTATGTGTAACAGTTACTCTACTGACTACTGCGACTCACTTAAGCCCATGTCACAAAAGTCAGCAATGCACAAGTGATTCCTGCAAGTTAACCACCCCTTGAATGATGGTGGTCATTTTACCATCAGATAGAAAGTAAGTATATCTCGTCGTATAAAATAAAATAGGTATTTCCACTCGTGTTTCAACCGTGAAGCAGTTGTGTTTGCATGGCTGTGTTTCGGTTTGAAGGGTGGGATATGGTGTGAATTTACTGGGTACAGAGGAATAACACCTGAGTCCTCAGGAATGGCAGCGCATAGGGGGTATCATGGGCGAGACAGTGTACTCTGTTATGTTAATAGTACTGCTCATGTCTATAGGCGACGGTTACCACTTTCCATCAGGTGGGCCGTCAGCTTGTTTGCCATTCTAATTTGTATAAAAAAAAAGGTAAGACGACGATACCCATCCATACCGCGACGGGGAAGGGGAGGGACGACGACGATTTATTAACGGGAACTAACAACTGTATTTCTAGCAATAAACCTTGTCAAAACAACCACCACGTGACACCCTCCTAAAAACCATCGCGATTAATTCAAGATCACAGGTCAAGTTGACCTACTTTCATCCTTCCTTATCCAGCTCCATCATTCCTCACTACTGCCTCGCTGGCATTGCGCAAGTTGCTATTCATCATCATCCATGTAAAAAGTCCATACAATCCCATAACATTAAACTTTAAAACTGTTAATTATTACAAACAATTCGTAGCACAAAGATCTAATTAAAAAATTCCAATATACAGTAGGCAACGCATTGTTAAGCAAATATTTTTACCAGCTACAACACCCACGTCATATGCAAATATTCATGTACTAATCAACAACAGCTTAGTATTTAATTAAACATACGCGACCTCACCTCTACTGATTCACTGGACTCGAGACATCACTCGCTACAAAATCCCGGATCTGGATTTCATTTTTACAAATATTTTATACAAAAGTCGTGCTTGGGGGTACCATTGTCGCACTCGTGTTTGAGTATGTTGTTAGCTTGTTTGTCATTCTAAGCAGCATATAAAAAATGAATGAAAGCAATCAAGCAAATGTATCACCTATGATAAGCTGATTTTGAGGATCTTTAATTTCATCGAGAGATAAAGAAAGAGAAGGGAAAGAAAAAAAGAAAGAGAGAGAGAGAGAGAGATAGAGAGAGACAAAGACAGAAGAGTGAAATAGAAATAGAAGAGAAAAAGAGAAGAGAGAGAAAGAAAGAAAGACAGAGAAAGAGAGAGTTTTTTTTATACGACTTAGAATGGCAAACAAGCTGACCGCCCACCTGATGGAAAATAATAACCGTCGCCTATAAACATGAGCAGTACCATGGACATAACAGAGTATACTGTTTCGCCCATGATACCCCCATGCGTTGCCATTCCTGAGGACTCAGGTGTTAATCCTCTGTACCCTGTAAATTCACGCCATATCCCACCCTTCAAACCGAAACACAACCGTGCAAACACAACTGCTTCACGATAGAAACACGAATGGGACAGAGGTGCCCAAGCATTCGACTTTTGTACAAACTCCCTCTGGTAAGTGATTAGAGTAAGATTTTGAGAAAACTTAGTACACAGGTATAAACTCTTATGACTTTTATGTCTGGAACTATTTATTAAACTAACGTTACATTTTACGTACTTAAATACTTCTTTAAACTCCTACTAATACAATTAATATTATAAATGTCAAAATTTGTATGGATGTCTGTTAATTAATCACGTTTAAATGACTGAACGGATTTAAATGAAAATAAACGGTTAGCTTATATCCTAAACTTAATACACGCGGACGAAACCACAGGAAACAACCAGTAACTAATAAAGTTTGGACCCACATTCCTAATCTGCAAACCAAACTCCAATTCGGTTTCGGCGCCGAACGGTCATAACTAGGTCCGAACGGCGATCTATTGTCTGAAGATACCTTCTTTTAGAGGTTGAACACGTGCTACAACATATGAGTAGACTAGATAACGGTCGAACATATGGAAGTTCGTAGAACTTCTACTGATAAAAGTAGTCAATCTTCAGATGTTGACAGTGACACACATACTAATATTAGTGGAATTAAACCAAACCAAAGTCCGTCCACATCAAGTATCACGACTTTAATTGATAGAACATATAATAACACATATGCAAAGTTGATTTACATGCGACAAGTTGTCGTAAGCGGTTCACCTTCGGGTCCGTGCTACCAAAATGCCAATGCAACAGTAGAATTCCACTGTCGCCGGCCGCACAAGCCTTTCACTGCGTACAGGAAATTATAAAGTTGGCTGCAGTAGGGATAGATACAAAGCAAACCTATTTATTACTACCTGAATCCTGAGGCTTTGCACGTTATTTTTTTATAATAACTTAGAATGGCAAACAAGCTGACGGCCCACCTGATGGAACGTGGTAACCGCCGCCTATGACAGACATTAGCAGTACCATGAACATAACAGAGTATACTGTTTCACTCATGCTACCCACCCCTCATGCGTTGCCATTCCTGAGGACTCAGGTGTTATTCCTCTGTACCTTGTAAATTCACGCCATATCCCACCTTTCATAACGAAACACAGCCATGCAAACACAACTGCTTTACGGTTGAAACACGAATGGGACAGAGGTACTCAAGCGAACGACTTTTTTACAAAGTCTCCCTCTGGTATATTATTATATATATTTGTATTATATTAATAAGAATAAATTAAATATTAACAGAGGATTAAGAGGGTTTTTCTCAACAGGTAACACCTTTCCGAACCTCGTATTCATCAAACAATGACGATTTTTTTTTATGGGTGTAAATGGTATAGTAACCCCGCCTGCGCTAACGGGATACACTGGCGGAGCACCAGTGAAGGATGATAGATGAGAATGAAAACAGGCCAGTTAGCCCACCACGATGAATTCATCAGGAATTAACCATGATAGTTTTCAGGGGAACCGCGAGGAGGTCGACCTGGCTGGGTATATTGCTAGCAATAATAGGATTCTCAGTCTCCATTACTAACAATCCCTTTCCCCCTAACAATGACGATTTAGAAGCGCTTGTAAACTATTCAAATAAAGATGAATTTGAAAAATTTGCATGAAAAATAATATTAGGTGTAGAATGCGTAATAGTGGATCTATATGTTATGTAAATATGTTTTGCCACGTAGCGAGCGTATTTTTATTTTACAAACAAAAATAACGGCTCCAATCGTGAAATTACGACCAGCTCCGTATTAATACAAAAATAATGATCAAAATCGGTACCGTGTTGACAATAATGTTACGTAATATACGAGCACGTAAAACACAAATGTATTTAAGAATCGTTTTCCTTTTAAAGTCTCTTAAATAATAAGATACCGGATATTGGTACAACGGTAAACAACGACGCTCTATTTACCATTGCGGTGCTCCGGTGTTGGCGATGTGTTGATATAAAAATAGATAGATAGACACATAGATATTCTTTATTGAATGGCAACGCATAGGAGGTATCATGAGCGAAACAGTACACTCTGTCATGTTCATGGTACTGCTAATGTCTATCATAGGCGACGGTTACCACTTTCCATCAGGTGGACCATCAGCTTGTTTGCCATTCTAAGTTGAATAAAAAAAATTGATTAATTTAATTACATATTCTCAATTAAAATTTTGTGCTTACGAAACATCTTGTAATTCTTCGTATTTTTTATATTAATTATAAAATAAGAAATTCTAAACAAATGCAATATACAGGTATATAAATATTGCAGTGAAATATTTAAAGACCAATATGGACTAAATTTCTAATAGATTTAACTCAAATTTACTTTATGACGGTCCTTAAAATAGTACTTTCACGAAGCTGGCAATTTTTTTTTATAATACGGGGCAAACGAGTGTGCAGCTCACCTGATGGTAAGTGATTACCGTCGCCCATGGTCACCCGCAATAGAAGAGGCATCGCAGGTGTGCTGCCGGCCTTTTAAAAAAGGAATATGCTCTTTTCTTAAAGATTATGATGATATGGGAGTAATCGAAGCATGTTATCAATAGATTGTATGGAATATATTTATAAAAAAAAACTAGCTGTTCTCCGCGACTTCGTCCGCGTTTCCGACGTTTTTCGTAAAATAAGTAGCCTATGTCCTTCCTTACGGTTCAGTGGTTTTGATGTAACAGACACATTTCCCTTCACTGCTCTGCTCCTATTGTTCGTAGCGTGATGAAAAATATACTATAACCTGCCCAGGAGTATGAAGAATAATTGTATCAAGTTTCGTTAAAATCCGTCGAATAGTTTTTGTTTCTATAACAAACATACAGACAGACAGACAAAAATTTTACTGATTGCATTTTTGGCATCAGTATCGATCACTAATTACCCGCTGATAGTTATTTCGGAAATATATTTCATGTACAGAATTGACCTCTCTACAGATTTAGCCATACCATACTAACCTAACATTAATATTTGTCTCATTGTTGCTTGTTATTTAATTTCATTATTGCACGCAGCACTCTTTGTGTAGGCTCTCACAGAAGACCAGCGTCGAGCCGTAAGGACTCCCGACACGTGCTCAGTAAGAGCCTTTTTTGTGACTAGAATTTGTTTTTTTTTTATACTACTTAGAATGGCAAACAAACTGCCGGCCCACCTGATGGAAAGTGGTAACC